AAATTGGAATAAATATTTTTCTGTAATTAAAATTATTTTTATCAATAAAATTTAATGAATGAATGAAGTAATACAAAAATTGAAAGAATAATAAAGTATCTATTGCAAAAAGAATCTTGTACTATAATTAAAAATACTGTTTGGAAATAAATATTTTTAATTATCAATAATTTCATAATAAATTTTATCGACAAATTTTTTATTAATAAATAAAATTTCTATTATTAAATTTTTTTATTAATAAAATTAGTTAATATTTAAAATTTTAAAATTAATCAGTGAAATTCGTCCATAACTTAAATTTATTTATAAATTTATTTCTATTGATAAAATTTTGTTGATAACTATAAAATTTTTGTATTGGTAATATCTTCATGCAATCACAAATTATATACCATGAGATGGCTGGTTTTTATTACATTAATTATTAGTGTTATAATAATGATAATTGATTGAAAGTGTGGATTTTTATACGGTTGAAAAGAATATGCATATATATGTGGTGGAAAAATTAATTGAAGTGGGAGAATAAAATGAGTAAGAGATTTGTATGGGCAAGAATATATAGTTTAGCTTGAAAGGAAGCTATTGGGAGAGAGAGAGAAGATAGAAAGTGCATGAAGCTTGAGCTTACGGCGGGAGAAAAGAAAAAGAAGAACAAAAAGCAAAGAGAAACCACCGAAAAGCAACCTCGCCACCTGTACGTCGCTGTCTCACAACATTTCTAAGTGTCTCTGATCGTTCTTTATCATCATTTATAAACTCTCAAACAACAACACACATGTTGCACCAACCATTCTCTCTCTTTCTCACTCTTTCGTTTTCTTCTGTCTCTTCATGAGAGAAGAACAAAGAGAGAAAGATTGTCATGGAACATAAACATCATCAAAACTTGTTCAAGAAACAACACTGTTCTTCTTCTGTCTCCATGTTATTGTGTTATACTACTACTACTTCATCATCATCATCATCCTCATCGATTCTCTTCTCCCATGGTTTTGATCATCTTCAGGTACTGTTCATTATATTCCTTCATTTGTTTCATTCCCATGTATTCATCAACCCCATTTTTTTTTTCGTGAAAGAAATAGTAGGAAAATTCAAACTTTCATTTTCTGATAAATTTTTTGAAGAACCCCATTTAAAGCTGGCAGTCAATTAACGATTCCATTAGTTTCTGATGTTTTTTGCTACGTGGTTTCGTGTTTTGCATTCTGCTTTGTGAATGTTTAAATAGAGAAATTTTCCTGGTTTTGTTTATTTTTTTCTCAGTGAGTTTCTACTGTTGTGTTCGTTGAATCTTTATCGTTCTTGAGTGATTGTTATTTTATTATAATGTAAATATTACTTTAAATCATAGATTATAGTTTGTAACAAACTTGCACATGTTTATGGAACTGATCATGATGAACGCATAAGTTTGATCGATTCTTGTTTGCTGAGAAAATCGCAAAGGGAAGTTTACGAAAAATTGGACGCTTTCTTCGAGGTTTGGGAAACCGAATATTTCTTCAGATTGTTCTGTTGTTTTGGACATTATTAAGGTGGAAAATCTCTCAGGAAAAATTATAAATTTGTGTTCTTTATTTTTCTTTATTCAATTTTTAAGAGACAAATTTTAATTTCTTTACTCACCCCACTTGTTTTTTTTATTTAAAGTTGACATCTGTGATTAATTAAATTATTTCTCCTTCAAAAATATTGGTAACGATGGAGAGATTATTTATTGAACTGTCGACTTTTAAATGATATGATTAACAGTTTTTAATCTGAAAATGTCTTATTTTTCATGAAAAGGTAATTTTACACTTTTCTTTTCTCCCTCTCTTGATTTCTTTTATCCAAAACATCTCCTTAACACTGCGAAGGGAAACCCAATATCAAGATAGTTACAGCAAATGACGTGAAAAAGTTCTTTCCCTTTCTTTTTGATAAAAATCGAAAAAAGAAAAAGAAAAACCTAAACTTTAGCCAATTAAGAAGGTGGGGTTAAAATGACAATCCGAAGATAATTTTTTTCTTGTTTTCGAACTTTAAAAAACACTGCTTTCGTGAAACATGCTGTTTTCCACTTCAACAAGGTGGAGGTTTCTAATTCGATGTAGTGCAGGTAAGACTTTATAGAACCAAGGAATGTTCTATTGAATTTTTTTTTTCAGGGTTAGACTATTTTTCTCAGTTATATAAAGGGAATTTCAATGATATGGTAGGCATACCAGAAATTTTGGGGTTTAGTATTTAGTCTATGATGATAGGTAAGATAATGCAGAGCTTGAAAATAATCTATGACAAGTAGGACCAACTATAACGACTATTATTCTCAGGGTTAATGAAGGATAATCGTTGGTTCTTATTTAACTGTTTGTTCTGTTTCATTCGAGGCCTAGATGAATGTGATGAATTTTCATTTAGTCTTTTGATGCATTGCAGTGCAGGGGAGAAGATTAGAAGATATTGATTGGAGTGTGTGGATCAAATTTTTTGTCTCTGTGATCCATTCATGCACACTGTGTTGCATTGATTTGTTGAAAATTAGATAGAAGATGGAGACAGGGGAAAGCAACAGCAGTAACCAAAGGTGTGAAGTGTCGAAGGTTTCTTCATGGTATAGTCAATTCAGAAATGTTTCAAACCCTTGGTTGGCAAGATATGTGTATGCTTTGATCTTCCTAGTGGCCAATCTGTTGGCATGGGCTGCACGTGATGAACTTTCTAGCCTTACTGCTTTAACTCAACTGAAGGGTGAGATTGCTTCAATCCTTCATGAGCTTTCACATTCCATCACCATCACATTTAATTTTTGGTTGCTACTTTCAAATTTTGGCCATGTCCATGCCATGTGTATGGTAGAAAGATTGTTTTCTTTTCTAACACGTGGAGGGTTTTAAGCTGTTTTCAAGGTGTCATTTTTCTCATCACAAATCTTGACATTACAAGAAACTCTAGGCAAATACTGTGAATGTATGTGACAGCAATTACATGGACTCTTAGACTAGAACAGTTTGCATGGACTCGTTAAAAAAGGAAAAGTGAACGAAAACTTTGAAATTTGAATTAGTTTTTAGTTAGAGACTTTCAATAAATGTCACTGTGCTTAACAACAACACCACATTAAATGAATTATTAGCATTATGTTGTTATGGCACCAGCAGCTTGAATTCTAACATATATTGAACCTTCAGGTGTAAAGGGATGCAAGGTTGGAAAAGACTGTTTGGGTGCAGATGGTGTTCTACGTGTGAGCATGGGTTGCTTTGTATCCTTTTCAAGTTTCAATGCTTATATGCAAGAAATCTGGTCTGGTCAATCATTAATCAATATTTATGCTGAGTTTTTGAACCTTAACTCTTGATCAGTTGTTTTATATGATAATGTTCTGGTCAACTGCTGGTACTTCTAAATTGAAGGAAGGCAGAGATGAATGGCACTCAGGATGGTGGCTAGTCAAGACTGTTCTGTTGATCCTTGTGACAATATTCCCATTTTTACTCCCTTCTGAGTTGATTGAGCTCTATGGTTGGTAAATTGTGTCTCTGAAAAAGCCTTCAAGTGTTAATGCTTCCTATTTGATATAAAAAAATGCTGCTTATATTCATTCTGTTATTTCTTTTGGGGCAGGTGAGATTGCACATTTTGGTGCCGGGTATGTCTATTTTTTACCTCAACTAAATGATTGCAGTATATTTTTGTCTTGAACTGATCTATGAAAGTTTTAATTTTCTCTATATTTTTCAGGGTTTTCCTCCTAATTCAACTAATAAGCATAATCAGCTTCATTACGTGGTTGACTGATTGTTTTGGCTCTGAAAAATATGCAGAAAGATGGTATGAAAATTGTAATTACATTACCCATATGCTATTCTTCTTTCATAATTCAGTTTGCAAAATTCTTGTGCAGTGCTCAAAATACTTCCTAAAACGTTTACACTTATCTTTAATTTCCTTGCAGCCAAATCCAGGTGATGTTATTTGCAACTGTTTCGTATTTTATCTGCTTGGTGGGGATCATTTTGATGTACCTTTGGTATGCACCACTACCATCTTGCCTCCTCAATATTTTCTTTATCACTTGGACCCTAGTGCTTCTTCAACTCATGACAAGTGTATCTCTTCACCCCAAAGTAAGCACTGTTTGCAGGTCTTTTGCTTGCTCAGCTTTCTTTATCTCCCATCATAACTTTATGTGAAATTTATGTTTCTCACTAGGTGAATGCTGGCATTCTAAGTCCAGGGTTGATGGGGCTTTATGTGGTTTTTCTTTGCTGGTGTGCAATCAGAAGGTAGGGACTACAATCTTTTTCTGTACTTTCGGATTTGTACAGATAATTTGATACAGCTGTGTAATGCATGTGAAGCTTCAAATGTCTAGATTTTTGTCAACCAAAGGAAACATAGATGTAAAATCAAACCATGTCTTACTTTTTGTTCTCCTAATTTCTCTCCATCCATTGCCTTTGTGATCCCTCTAACTTTCTGTTGTATTCATTTCTGTTGAATCTGAGCTTTAGAACATATTTGTGTGTGCAGTGAACCTGCAGGAGCTGATTGCATCAGAAAGTCAGAGTCTAAATCCAAAACAGATTGGCAAAGCATCATTGTAATATTTACTATTTCATTTGAAATATTCTCACATCAATGAGTAACATCAACACATTTTTATGAAAAAAACGATTTATATTTATTGTTACAATTGCTAGTATTTAATTTTTTAAACATGATATCACTTTACCTTCTTATTGTCTGACATTTGACACTGACTGTTGGCAGAGCTTTGTGGTTGCAATACTAGCGCTTGTTGTTGCAACATTTTCCACAGGCATAGATTCCAAATGCTTTCAAGTTAGTTACAGGATCTAAATTGAACTTTATTTTAACAGCAGATTCTCTCCAAAGCACATCTAACTGATATTCTTACAGTTCAGGAAGAGTGATCCTCCAGCAGAAGATGATGTTCCATACGGTTATGGCTTCTTCCATTTTGTTTTTGCCACAGGAGCAATGTACTTTGCAATGCTATTGATTGGGTGGAACAGTCACCATTCTATGAAAAAGTATGAAAATTTTGTCACTCACAACATAACCTTTTTTTACCTGGTTGCTAGCTTATTGGTGCTAGTAGAAAGTTTATGTGAAGTTG